GGGTTTAAGAGGTTTTAGTGAGTGATGATCGAGGAAGAGAATAGTGATGGTATAAGGTCGCAGCGATGCAGAAATCAAAAACAGAATATAAATTTGGATAATAAAGTGATATTTTAAAAGTTTGTGGGTAAAAAAGTTATTAAACCATTGTTTGAGTGAGAAAACAAATCTTTTATTTAATATTTTAACAACTCAAAACAACTCTTAAGTTTGAGTAAGCAACAAATGGGTTTGACGTTTTAGGCCCGATTAAATCTTTCTACAACAAAGAGAAATCTCAAATCTGCCTGACGTGAAAGGAGTATTAACGTTCCCACCACCTAGTATAATAGTCATGTCTAAGAGGGATTATTTAATCAAATTCTTTGAATGAATTTTAGACGCTTTCTCCTATGCATTTTTTTATTATAGTGTGGTGCTTCGCCCTTTTTATTACAGGTGATAATTACTTAAAAAACCATTTTAAGAGTCAAAATTAAAGTCTGATATCTTTTTAATTAGTTTAGTAGATAAGAACGTTCATCCAATTTCTTTTCACTTTTACCTTCTTTACTCTAGCCACTAGAAAAAACTAATTTAGTGCTTCAGTCTAGTCAACTCTAGCGTTCGAGTCCAATTGACTCCAGCACTAAAGTAAAAAAAAAAAATTACGGCTATGTTTGGCTTAGTATTTTTATCCATATTCTGGATTCTATTCTCCAAATAATGTTTGGCACATTATTCCAGAAATATTACCCTATTTTTTTAATTACTTTAGACCCCATAAGGTTATTAATTTCACTAAATACCCCCTGAAAAAAAAGTTTACAAATTAACAAAAACACCCCCATTAACCCAACTTGTCAAATTTCGGCAACCACCGTCGGTGATAGCCGGAATCTGTACAACGGCCTAACTTCCGACCAGAAATGGCCGGAAGTTCACCGATCTGCCACGGATCTGGCCGTCAGCGACGGCCAAAGAAATGGCCGACGGCCACATCTTTGGGTCTTTTCCGGTCGTCGACGGCCATAACAGACCGTAGATCTGGCCTTTTCCGGCTAGACCTGTGGTAGATCTGGCCGGAAAAGTCCATAACGACGTGTTACGGCACAGATCCGACCGATCTGTGCCGTAACGAAATTTTTCGACCATATTCCGGCGGTGGTGGCCGGAATCTGGCACGAAAAATTTCAGGGGTGTTTTTGTCATTTTACATATTAGGGTCTTTAATTAAATTAGTAAACCTAAGGGCTTTTTCATAAATTTTTAAAATTTACCTAGTAATACTCCCCTATCCAATAACCCAATACTATCCCCAAAATCCTATCCAAAATAATAAATCAAACGCATCCAGTAATGTTATGGAAAAAGTAATCACACAATGGGATGAATTTGAATCTAAAATAAATTTGGAATTGGGAAAAAGGGGTAAAAGCAGAAAACCTAATAAGAAATTGGGAAAAGTGGTGTAAACAAAAACTTCAATAAAGTTTGAAATTGGGGGAAAAAGAGGTACAAATAAAAACCCTAATTAAGTAGGGATATTTTTGGTATTAAATAGGGTTTAAAGAGAATTTTTTTTAAAATATAATAGAGATTTATTTACTAGTAGGGGATAATGATCAGTTAGATGGAGGCTAAAAATCACTTCCCGTATTTTATTTGCCATTGTAAGTTAAATTGATGAAATATCTTGGGTTTATTTTCATTAAACAGATGTCTTCAGCCGCTACACCATATCCTGTCATATAACCATGGTTATGATTAAGTACTCCATAATCAGATTAAACATCGTATGCTCAATACTAAAATACGGGCACAATATTTCAACCCCGTACAATTCTTAAGGCACTGCAATGCATTTAGTTTTTTTTTTAATATGAATCTCGATCTTTAAATCACTTATACCTAACAAGATTGAAAGAATGTAGGCAAGTGGAAGATTTAGACTTTTAATAGTGGTAAAGTGTTTTACTCATTTCAATAAAAGTAAAGAGTGAAGAAACTAGACTCTTGAAGATTCAATCTCAAGAAAACTTCCTACTCTAACTTCTCCCGAATGAATTGTAAAAGACAAATCTTCAATGATTTCGATTTCTCCTCCAGGTCGTCGACTTGGAGTGCGATTTTCTCGTCTTTACTTTCTAATTTCCGAAAAAAGTCCCCAAAACAAGAATTGTAGTCATTTAAATTAGCTTTCCATTCCCACCAGAATCGTGTGATTTGGATATTTGTAACAAAAGTTATACCCCAAATACCGAAATGTGTTATGATAAAATGGGGAAGATGAAAAAAATTGATTTTCTCCTTTACACCAAAATAGGAGATTTTTCTTATCTTCCAGAAGCGCTCCCCCTCTTAATCTTCTATTGATCTTGAACGCCTCTCCCTAGAGAAATTCTATTTTTTTCTTCTCCTTTCAATCCAGCCAAAAAAAGGAAAATCTCAAATAAATACCCAATTTATGTCAAATTGAAACACTTAAACGATAAATCCTATAAAAAAATTAAAAATTAAAAATTAAATAAAAATTAAAATTGAGATAAAAATTAAATAACAACCAACATGCATTAATTAACTACGGAATTCATTAAAAGTAAATACTATAGCTTAGCTCTCACTCATTATAATCAACCCTATCTCACTAGGGGTGGGATAAATAATCCGAAAACCGAACCGAACTGAAATCGAACCGAAAATTAGGTTTTTTTACAAACCAATTCGGTTTTCGATTTGTAGAATTCAAAAAACCGGAAAACTGGTTTTACCCTAACTATAAAAGCAAAAAAAAATTTTGGCTCCTCTTTATTTCTCTTCACACATAGTTCAGACTCTTCTCCCTCTGCGACTCAACCTCCAAATCTTAGTTAAATCTCCCTATTCCACACCGTGAGCTATAGAGCTACTCCATAGTCCATCCACACCGTGACTCCATCCACACTATGAACTACTGCTGCTGCATCCACTTTCCAGTGATCTTCACAGTCCAACGATCTTCTTCGCGATCTTCACAGTCCAGTCTTCCACACCATGAGCTATAGAGCTACTCCATCTACATCGTGAGCTGTGAGCTGCTCCATCCACACCGTGAGCTACTGCATCCACTCTCCAGCGATCTTCACAGTCCACCGTGAGCAGACCCACCATGAGAAGACTCCACAGTGAGCAGACCCACCGTGAGAAGACTCCATAGTGAGCAGACCCAACCTGAAGAGACTCCACCCAGAGCAAACTCCACCGTGAGTAGACCCACAGTGAGCAAACTCTTGATTTTTATGTATTCTTTGTTTGTTATTTTGTTAATCTTGTTTTGCTTTCTGGGTTTGTTTTAGTGAAGGAAGGTAATGTTGTGGCTGCTGTTTGTGCTGTTTTGGCCTTTGGGATACTTTGCACTTGTTAGAAGGAACTATGGTGATGGTGGTGTGGTGTGAAGGAAATTGGGGGTTTTTGTTTGTTGATTTTGGGATTTTGTGATATGGTTTTCTAGAAATTTTGTTGTTAGATTAGGTTTTGGTAAAGTTAACCCTACACTACATTTGAAGAGATTAAGGCTATTAAATATGGATTAGAGATGTAAAGCTCATAATTAAGGAGCTTATGTAACAAATATTATTAATAATCCTTTAATTTTACATTTTCGGCGTATTTTGTTACTAATTTTACTTGTTTCTGATTTCTGAAACCGATGGATGGTCCTCACTATGTAGCAATCCAATGGTCTCTAATTTTCACAGGCCTGGTAAAATTATGAAGATTGTCTCTGCCTTTCCCGAAACTTCAAGTCAAAGCCAAGTTTCTCCTTGAGAGAACGTTAATGTTGTCCACCAAATAATCAAATACAAAGCTTTTGTATAATGTTGATTTTTAGTCTTCATAGTATGAAATTATATATAAGATAATAAATATTTTAATTTAGAAACTTAAATGAAACATTGAAGAATTTTAAGGATTAAAGGATAATTTGAAAATCGGTTTGAAAACCGGTTAACCGGCAACCGAACCGAAAATTTGGTTAGGTTTGCATTCAGTTTTTAACCGAAACCGGTCCGATTTTCGGTTTGGATTTTCTCCAAACCAAAAAACCGGTTCGGTTTTTGGTTTTGATAATCCGGTTCAGTTAACCGGATTATCCCACCCCTCTATCTCACCATAAGGATAACTTCTTAATAATATAAAAGCGATAATCTTTCAAGATAACAATTGACTTTATGAACCTATTTTATAGGTCCAATGCCATATGTATTGTCATTGTGAATTAGACTAAAAATTTTAGTTTTACTTCAATTTTTTATTTAAAAGATTTCTTTGTGGATTAGCTTGTATACTTGTGCACATGTTTCGCAATTTGATATATAAATATTGGATAACAAACAAAAATATATATATTTTTTTCTTAATGTAAGAAAAGTACACATGACCTAATTCATCAAATATAAATTAAGTGAATCAACAATATAATTAGAAGAATATTCATTTCAATTATTATCAATTTCAGTACATTGAACTTGAATAGTTTACCATGACAATACAATTTTCCAACGAAAACTTCATTCCTTGTTATTAATAATTTATCACCCTTGAAGGACACTTTCAACCCAACTTTGCCAATACAAAAATAGACAACAAATTACATAATAATATTTGGAACAAAAAGTGCATTATTTAGTGAGAGGAGTTTCCTATCGGTAAGTTTAACAAAAAAAATTCGCTATGCCTAGTANTTTTTTTTTTTTTTTTTTGTTTTTTAAAGTTAATATATAGGGGATAAAATAACATAATTACCCCTTGACTTCTTTTTGAATTTACTACTATGTCCTTTTTAGTTAAACTTGACTAATGAATTACATAGATGGTAAAGTTGTATTTTAAAAATTTTTGGGTGGAAAGTGTCATTAGGCCAAACCATGGGTGAGAAAAAGTCATTTACTCAATTAACGTTAGGTTATAAAAATTGCAAAGCGAGTGTTATAGCAATACAAATGTGGACCAGTCAAACATTACATGATTCCAACTTGACCTAGATATCTGGTAATGTCGATGGATACTCTTGTCAGGACCGGCGAATCCCAAAATCAACGTGACAGCTGGTAATGCCTCATACACATTGTGTTAACGTGAACTCAACTACATAGTACTACTTTTCCTGCCACGTATACCGCAATTTAATAAGGACACGCGTCCAAAAGGCCCTCCCATTTATGGCCGGACCTCTTTGCATTCAGTTCTTTCACCGATTTCCTGAGAAAAAGTAAGTTAATGTTCTTTAACACTATCTTCTTCAACTCCCCCTGCTACTTTCAGCTAGAAGAAGATGCAAGGTACAGCTAAAAGCTTGAGCAGTCCAAGAAACTGAACTGAATATATAAAATATATTATATAATAATATTTTTATTATTTTAATTTAATTTGTCTAATAATGGCCTGCTGTTTATTAGGAATGTGCAATCATAGAGAAGAGGAAAGTTTAAAGATTATTTATGTTCTGGTAGTTCTGAGATGAGTTCACGTGAAGTGTATGCAACGTTGTCCGTGAGTTTTGCGAGCAAGAATTTCAAGAAAAAGATGCCAAACCAATGTCTCCACTTGTTCAATGTGAGAAAGAAACCTCAATGCTCGCTCTTCTAGGGTTTCTTGAGTGAGCACAAGCTGAAGCAGATTTGAAAATGTCTACTTTTATAAAGTGCTATGAGTAGATCTGAAAGATTCCGGAAGAAGAAGCCTTTTAGTTCTTGAAGAATTCAAATCATTTTGTTTATGGATCAAACTCAGAGAATCTCAAGATTCTACCAGTCTTAATTTGATGGAACTTTTGGTTTCAAGGTACTCCTACTCTCTTATCTTGCTTTTCTTTGTAATTTCTCTTCTTCCACTGGTTAGATCAGGGGATGTAAAGGCTCTTTTGTCTCTGAAATCGTCCATTGATCCTTTAAACACTCTTCCATGGCAAGGAAGCGATGTTTGCAAATGGAAAGGGATCAAGGAATGTATGAATGGAAGAGTAACCAAACTTGTTCTAGAGTACTTGAATTTGAGTGGTACAATAGATGAGAAAAGTTTGAATGAGTTAGACCAGCTTCGTGTATTGAGTTTCAAAGGTAACTCAATATCAGGCCAAATCCCAAATCTGTTTGGCCTTGTCAATCTCAAATCCCTTTTTCTAAATGACAACAATTTCTCTGGTAAATTCCCAGAGTCCCTTTCAAGTCTACACCGTTTAAAAGTCATAGTTTTAGCCAATAACCAAATATCCGGTCCCATTCCTTTATCCCTCCTAAATCTCACCCGATTGTACATGTTTTATTTGCAAGATAATAACCTCACCGGAAAAATCCCTCCTTTCAGCCAAACCAATCTCAGATTCTTCAATGTCTCCAACAATCAACTGTCTGGTCAAGTTCCATTAACCCCAGCTTTAGTCCGGTTCAATACATCAGCCTTCTCCGGTAATATTGATCTTTGTGGCAAACAAATTCAAATCCCTTGTAAAAGTAATGAATTTGGGCCTACATTGAGTCCTTATCCCGCAAGGCCGAGGTCAAAATCATCATCATCATCATCAAAAAGGGTCAAAATCATAGCAGCAAGTGTAGTTGGATTTGTAGTGGTATTAGTTTGTATAATATTGTTATGTTTGGGATGGCGATATTGTAGAAAGAAAGCGGGTTCCGGGGAGTTGAGAAACAAAGGGGTTGTTGGTGTTGAAGGAATAGAGAGAGCAGAGGGAACAGGAAGAGGAAAAGAAGGAGGGTTTTCATGGGAGGGTGAGGGATTAGGGAGTTTGGTGTTCTGTGGAGCAGGAGATGAGCAAATGAATTATAGCTTAGAGGACTTATTGAAAGCATCTGCAGAGACTTTAGGAAGAGGTACAATGGGTAGCACATATAAGGCAGTATTGGAATCAGGATTCATAGTAACAGTTAAAAGGCTAAAAGATGCAAGGTATCCAAGAATGGAGGAATTCAGGAGGCATATGGAGATTATTGGGAGATTAAGGCATCCGAATTTGGTGCCTCTTAGAGCATATTTCCAGGCGAAGGAGGAGAGACTTCTAGTTTATGATTATTTCCCAAATGGGAGTCTCTTTTCTCTCATCCACGGTATGCTTCTAAACTTTGATATAATCTATTGTATAAAATACAAAACTAACAAAAGTAAAGTAATCATAGTGAGTATTAAAATCATCGACATGTCTATAACATTTTTGATATTGAATGTGTTGAAGTAGGTTGTAGTAATTGTAACCTGTTATAAATTGATAATGTTATTATAATTACATTTAACAAGAGGTTTAGTTTTAGTTTCGGCTCCCATTTGAATGAATATAAAATTGTGATATCACTTTTCACTTTTCTTGTTGACTGCCTAGAGTCGAACTATTATATTTACTATTTAAATTTATTTTATATTTTGTGTATCTACTAAGTAAAAAAAGAAGGAATTATTTTATTTATAATAATTACTTGGACCATTTGTTTCTTTTCAATTAACAGGATATGTGGGAACCTTTCCCTTTTTCCTTTTTCCTTTTTCCATGGGTAGATTAGATTTGAGGTGAATAAAGACAAGGCTTCAAACGTCCCTGGCCATGTTTAATATAAATCTGAATCTCGAAAAGGCGCGTGCTTTTTTGTTGACAACTCATACTCTCAACTCTGACCTTGCCATGTTAGTGTTGTCCCGTCTTCTTCCTTTCACCTCACATTTTTACCTTGTCACGTGACCAATGTTAAATGTTTCCCTGTTTACTATGCATTATTTTCAATTTGCATACTCCTTCCAACATGATTTTCATTCAATCTGTCTGTCTTTAAGCTTTTTATACTTGCATTAGCCAATAATATTCTTAATTAACTCTGTCACAGGAACAAGAACTTCCGGTGGTGGAAAGCCTCTTCATTGGACATCATGTCTCAAAATAGCCGAGGACTTAGCCAGTGGATTGCTCTATATCCACCACAACCCTGGACTAACCCACGGCAACTTGAAATCCTCCAATGTCTTATTAGGTCCCGACTTTGAGTCCTGCTTAACAGATTATGGTCTTTTCTCATTTCGTGATCCGGACTCACTAGAAGAACCCAGTGCCGCTTCTCTCTTCTATAGAGCCCCTGAATGCCGCAACATGTGGAGACAACCCACCCAACAAGCTGACGTTTACAGCTTCGGCGTCCTCCTTTTGGAGCTATTAACTGGGAAAACTCCTTTCCAAGACCTTGTTCAGGAACATGGTTCAGACATTCCTAGATGGGTGAGGTCCGTCCGCGAAGAAGAAACCGAGTCTGGGGATGATCCTGCCTCGGGTAATGAGGCGTCCGAGGAAAAACTTCAAGCTCTTTTGAATGTTGCAATGGCTTGTGTGTCACTTGCTCCTGATAGCCGTCCAATGATGAGAGAAGTTTTGAAGATGATCAGAGATGCAAGGGCTGAAGCTCAAATCTCATCCAACAGTAGTGATCATTCACCGGGGAGATGGTCCGACACGGTTCAGAGCTTGCCTAGAGAAGAACACTTGAGCATTTGAGTGGTTCAATTTAAATTTTTGATTCTTTTCAATTGGATCTCGATTGATCTACTACTAGTGTAAAGTTTGATTATTGGTGCTTTTTGGCGTGTTTTTAGTTGTATAAGATTGAATCACTTTCTCCAATTTACCATTCCGTGAGGATTTGTTAGCTGATTATTATCCCTCGCCTCCCTTGAGGTTTGTGATTTAATATGGGCAAGGCATATCCCAAAGTATAACATAGCATATCCCTTTCCCTTTCCTTAATCCACCTATTTTCAGATTTAAGTTTGGGTAAACAAATGAAAACTAATCCCACCATCACTTTGGTTGATTTTTTCGGTTTTCTCTGATCTGTGTCCTACTTCAACTTAACGCTCGACTTCTTTATTCATGTCTTCTCTGCTGGATTAGTCATGTATCAATCTAGTCCAGACACGGGCGTAGGTAACCAAAGACTAAAATGAACCAGCTCTGTTGCCTCAAACTTAACGCCATGTGTTTATTGATTTAAATGAAAGCTTTTAGTTGCTGCATTTTGCGCCGGAAATACAATTGTAATTGTCATTTGACTTATTTCAGTTTAGTCATATGATCTATATCAATTTAGTCCTCATGTTTATGCTTTATATTAATCATTTGATTTTTAAATAAAACTAATAGGTGGCAATTTATAGAGAAAATTTAACTCCCTGGACATCCCAAGTTTCCATTTAACAAAATGGCCTTGAATTTTTTTTTCATTTTTTTAATTTAGAAAAGCTGACGTGTTACAGTTATGATTCATTAAACATGTAAAATGGGTTAAAATGAAAAGATTAAAACATATGTGGGCAAAAAAATTAATGAAAGTTTTTTAAAATTTGAAATTTAAAAATGAGCCCCACCTATTCAAATTGCTTAATCGAAACTGATTAGGCAAAAATCGATTTCTTGAACCCTAAACGGAATATCTACGATTTCTGGCGATACAGTCCACATTCACAATCGAAACTGTAAATTTTCACACCAAATTCAATCCTAAAATCGATTTCTTGAACCCTAAACGGAATCTCTACGATTTCCGGCGATACAGTCCACATTCACAATCAAAACTGCAAATTTTCACATCAAATTCAATCCTAAAATCGATTTCTTGAACCGTAAACGGAATCTCTACGATTTCCGGCGATATAGTCTACATTCACAATCAAAACTGCAATTTTTCACACCAAATTCAATCCCAAAGCTTCATTTCTTAAAATCATGGCTGACATTCACAATGAGGAGGAAAACCCAACGCCACTTCGAATCCTAGAGTCTGGTGGCGCAAGCAGTTCAATGGCTGCTTCGGTGGATCATCCGATAAGTGAAGGTGGTCCACAGGCAAAGGAGAAGACGGCGACACAACAACAGAGAGAAGAATCACAAAACGGTTCTAAACCAGGAGGAGGCCGGCAAGAATTCAGGCGAGGAGGAGGAGTCCGACGAGAATTCAGGAGAGGAGGAGGAGTCCGACGAGAATTCAGGCGAGGAGGAGGAGTCCGACGAGAATTCAGGCGAGGAGGAGGAGGCCGGAGAGAATTCAAGCGAGGAGGAGGCCGGCGAAGAAAGGGTATGTATTTGTTTTGGGAGTTCTGGTACTGTACTGTATTTTAGTTCGCCATACCAATTCTATATTGCTTAGCCTTTGTTTGGTGCATGGCTGTGGTGTTGACATGTTTCATGTTAGTGATGCTACTGGTTTAGATATGTGATGGTGTACTTCTCGTGTACTGCTTGTGGATGAAAAACCACTGGTGGAATTTAAATGATTAAAAGCTTTTCATTGTGTATTGAACTATTGATAGATGGATTAATCAGGGGTCATTTTTATCCTGTGATGAAATAAGACAGTGCAATTAAGTTTTTGAATTCAGTAAATTCATATATCGGTAGGAAGAAATGTATGCAAGTCGTAATAACATCCCTTTGCTCTATACCGTCGCTTAAGCGATTCATCGCTTTTACCTATGGTCGCTTAAGCGATTCCAGATCGCTTAAGTTTGCGTAGAGAATGGCATGAATGGAGGGATAGAGTGGCTAGGGTTTCTACTCTTGAACTCTTTTACATATAATATATATGTTAGTTCCCATTTTGCCCAGCTGCTCTTTCTTAGAAAGTTCATCTATGTCCCTTAGTCAATTACAACAATGCCTCATTTTTATTATTTCTCCATGAAATTCTATCTCTTTTCACTCCCCAAGTTTTCAACTAATTGAGTGAAAAGACCATTTTACCCCTAATGAAAGTTTAAGGGATTTTCTTCACATTTTTCTCAAAATAACTCAACAAAATTCAACTAAGGGCCAACTAACCAAAAATAACAACATGCAAGCTCAATTGAGAATAATCAATAAACATTCAATAAATGCAACAATACTTTAACTACATACCTCAAGTGGGGCGTTACATATGAAAAACCTGAATGGATGATATCTCTGATTTAAGCTTAAAAAAGTTAGAAGTAATGGTTACCCGTGGGATTACAATCTTATTAAAAAGAGTGAACGATTTTTTCCCCCACCCAGGTTTGGCTTAATGACACTTTCCCATCCATCAAGTTTCAAAATGACACTTACATTCAATTGCTGGTTATCTTTATCACGTACATAATCCATTCTGATTCCACCAGGTCAATCGATTTCTCAGGTTGGTGCAATTTCGTATCAACAAAGAACATTTAAATATGATTTCATTTTCTGTCAAAGATAACAACAAAAAACTATTAGCTATCATTTAATTAAATAATTTATAATTTTTTTTTCATTATGAAAAACCTTAATCGATGATATCTCTTATTAAACTTCAAAAAATAGAAGTAATGGTTACTTGTGGGATTACAATCATATTAAAAAGAGTGAACAACTTTTTCCCACCCATCATGTTTAAAACGACACTATTCCCACCCACCTTATGTTCCTTAGAAAAATCCGTTGATGACATAGTATAAATGGTGTAAAGATGAAAATACCCTTTCCTCTTATTCTTCTCTTTGTCGCCTCTGATTTCGGTTACAATTCCTACCGATTCGCTAGTTGGGGCTTTCATCGAGCACCTGCTGCGCCTGAGAGGAGAAGTGGGAATGGCTAGGGAAGGTGGAAAAACCAGGAAAAACACCCAAATCAAGCCAACAAATGCAACTCAACACACCTACAACACCAAAACATCAGAACAACAATCAAAATGCTTCAAAAAAGTTCCAAAAACAATCAAATTGCAAAACCCAGCCACGGTGGAAGGTGGCGGTTCACGGCCGAAGAACAGCAAGTAACCAAGTCCCAGGGTTTAAGAGATTTTTTTAGAGTGGAGGTTGGAGGTTGTAGTGGTATGGAGATTGGGTTTTGGCCACCGGAATTAGGCGGAATCGGCTTAAAAACAAAACCTAACTTGTAGTGGCTAGCGAACGGTGGTTTGAAAGATGTGGGGATCAGGGGGTTTTGGTTTGAGAAGATTGAGGAAGCTTGTGGTGGTGCAGGGAAAGCCAGATGCATTCCGGCCAAATCCGGGGAGACGGTAGGGTGGGAAGAAAGTAAAACTTGAAGGCAGTCGACCAATTTTTTTTTTTTTTTTTTGTTTTTTTTAAAGTTAATATATAGGGATAAAAAACATAATTACCCCTTGACTTCTTTTTGAATACTACTATGTCCTTTTAGTTAAACTTGACTAATGAATTACATAGATGGTAAAGTTGTATTTTAAAATTTTTGGGGGAAAGTGTCATTAGGCCAAACCATGGGTGAAAAAGTCATTTACTCAATTAACGTTAGGTATAAAAATTGCAAAGCGAGTGTTATAGCAATACAAATGTGACCAGTCAAACATTACATGATTTCCAACTTGACCTAGATATCTGGTAATGTCGATGGATACTCTTGTCAGGACCGGCGAATCCCAATCAACGGGACAGCTGGTAATGCCTCATACACATTGTGTTAACGTGAACTCAACTACATAGTACTATTTTCCTGCCACGTATACCGCAATTAATAAGGACACGCGTCCAAAAGGCCCTCCCATTTATGGCCGACCTCTTTGCATTCAGTTTCTTTCACCATTTCCTGAGAAAAGTAAGTTAATGTTCTTTAACACTATCTTCTTCAACTCCCCCTGCTACTTTCAGCTAGAAAAGATGCAATTACAGCTAAAACTTGGGCAGTCCAAGAAACTGAACTGAATATATAAAATATATTATATATAATAGTTTTATTATTTTAATTTAATTTGTCTAATAATGGCCTGCTGTTTTTAAGGAATGTGCAATCATAGAGAAGAGGAAAGTTTAAAGATTATTTATGTTCTGGTAGTTCTGAGATGAGTTCACGTGAAGTGTATGCAACGTTGTCCGTGAGTTTTGCGAGCAAGAATTTCAAGAAAAAGATGCCAACCAATGTCTCCACTTGTTCAATGTGAGAAAGAAACCTCAATGCCGCTCTTTAGGGTTTCTTGAGTGAGCACAAGCTGAAGCAGATATGAAAAGTCTACTTTTATAAAGTGCTAGAGTAGATCTGAAAGATTCCGGAGAAGAAGCCTTTTAGTTCTTGAAGAATTCAATCTTTTGTTTATGGATCAAATCAAGAACTCAAGATTCTACCAGTCTTAATTTGATGGAACTTTTGGTTTCAAGGTACTCTACTCTCTTATCTTCTTTTCTTTGTAATTTCTCTTCTTCCACTGGTTAGATCAGGGGATGTAAAGGCTCTTTTGTCTCTGAAATCGTCCATTGAATCCTTTAACACCTCCTATGCAAGGAAAGCGATGTTTGCAAATGGAAAGGGATCAGGAATGTATGAAGGAGAGTAACCAAACTTGTCTAGAGTACTTAATTTGAGTGGTACATAGATGAGAAAAAGTTTGAATGAGTTAGACCAGCTTCGTGTATTGAGTTTGCAAAGGTAACTCAATATCAGGCCAAATCCCAATCGTTTGGCCTTGTCAATCTCAAATCCCTTTTCTAAATGACAACAATTTCTCTGGTAAATTCCCCAGAGTCCCTTCAAGTCTACACGTTTAAAAGTCATGTTTTAGCCAATAACCATACCGGTCCCATTCCTTTATCCCTCCTAAATCTCACCCGATTGTCATGTTTATTTGCAAGATAATAACCTCACCGGAAAAATCCCTCCTTTCAGCCAAACCAATCTCAGATTCTTCA